ACACACACACACACACACACACACACACACACACACACACGTTGTGAGTGTACACACACACACACCCTATCTTTTCATCTAATTAACAAGGTGTTAAGGTGTTTCTGTCGGTTAAAAGCCTCAGTACATGATAGCTATCTTCGTGCCTCCAAGCTCAACCTGCCACAGACTAAGGGGCTTCTTATGCCCATGCAAAAGTTACTTGGGCCAGAAATCAGGGGGCCTGGATCCTGATCGTAGCATTGTCATTAGCAGCAGTTACCCCCGTGGGTCTCAGGCTCCTGATCCATCAAACAAGAGGTGGGGCCGGGGAGTGTTGAAGCGCCCTTCAAGTCCTAAAACCCCAAGAATCCCATGAATAGGTGAGAGTAGTGGACTCCAAGATAAAAGGACGGAGGGAGAAATTATATCCAGAACAAGGGGAGGCTGTCTGGAGAGATGGGAGACCCAGTCTGCTGTGCAGACCACCTGCTGCAGGAGACTGGGGGCCCGGAGCCTGCGGGCCTGGAGGAGCTAGTGTTTGTTCCCTGTGGCCATCCCACAGGGCTCAGAGGCTGCACACAGCGGGGGCAGTTGGTCCGTTCTGAGCTCTGTGGGAAGCACGGGATGGACTTGAAGGTATCACTAGGCATTCCCGCCTAGGGCTTGGGCATCAGCATTTATTGGGCATGCGGTTTCCCCATGTGTTGGTCAGTGGAAGGAAATAGAGAGCAGATGCCTTCCTTCTCATGGATTTCATGTTCTGATGGGTGAGAGCGTTCACATCCATTAAATCTGCGTTGAACCCTTAGTTCTTGCTTCATGTTTATTGAGCATCTACTATGTGCCAGGTGCTATGACTGCAGCAACGAGGAAGAAGTAGTTCCATACCCCCACCCCAAGGCACTTCTGCTGGGAGGTGGACAGGTAAAGACTAGCTGTTAAACACTGGCAGCAGCCTGAGGTGGGAGAGGGGCACAGACCATCCAGATCTGAAGGTGGAGGAAGGCTTCCCAGAAGAGGAGACATCCACGCAGAGATCTAAGGAGTGAGTGGAAGTTAGCCAGGCCAAGAGGCGAGGGCTAGTGCTCCAGAGGAGAAAGGAGCATTTCCAAGTGGCATGGGCTTCTCCTGGATTAAGACCTAGGCGTCTAGCCAGTTTATAGTCTAGTGGTAGAGAGGAGCCCTCATGGGGGATAGATGGAGGCTGTATCCTGAGTCCTGCAGGGGGACAGACTTGGCCCCAGGGTTCTATGGGGAGGGAATCCTGGTGAGAGGAGCAGGAAACTGGAGCTGATCCTCTAAGGACAGATGGGCAGGAATGGCAAATGCTGAGGGCTGGGAGCAGGCCAGGCGTGAGGGACCATGGCAGGCAGAGCTCAGAGCCATGAGGGTGTGAGAGCCTCGGCTGTGGGGTCAAGTTAGAGCCAGAGCTGAGTTGAACCCTGGTTAGAAGCTCGGTTTGTTTTGGTAGGAAATACGGCACCAGAAAAGGCTTCTGAGCAAAGGAGTAGATGTTCAGTATTGAAATATGTTGCCTGAATATGAGGAGAAAGGGGATTGATGCTGGGGGCATGGTAGTCATGCAGTTTACCCGACAGTAAATCATGGTCAGAAGACTGAAATGTCCTTTCCGCAATACCCTGACCCCTAAGGTAAAAAAAGCTATTTCCCAGTCCTCAATTCATCAGTAACAAATCTAGCATGTCCCATTTGTTCTCAGCTACTTCCCCCATTCCTGGAACAATGTATGGTACATAGTAGCCTATGATAAATGCTGACAAACAGTGACCTTGTGGGGAATTATGAGTCTTAGTTTTGAACCAACTGCCCTTTATATTATCTTCAAGTGATACTGTACCACATAGAGAAAATTATTTTTCATAATCCTCAAAGTTGACATGGTTTTCACTTAATATCTTTTTAAACTGTTTATTTTTGAGTTATTTTAAGGTTGCTTATGTTCGAGTTATTTTGGAAATGCTGAAAACATTTTTTATCAACATTTATTATGGAGATTAATTACATATTAAACAAAGTTCTCAGTGTTATGAAAATTTATATATTTTGGCCACACACAATCCCTCCAAATGGTGTGTCACATTGGGGTAGTTAGAGCAAATGTAAATAGAGTCAGTTTTGTATTTGCTCACATTTTCTTTTGTGTGAATAGCATGGACACACTTCATGTACTGGAGTCAGTAAACCAACAGCTGGTAGACGATTTTCTCCCCTGAATCTCTTAACTCATACTATACATTACAGTGATATTGCCGACCAAGCTCTCAGCATAGTAATTCCAGCCTAGGTCATTTTTGGCACATGGAGAGCATTTCTGCTGAAACCCTCATGCCCTAAAGTCTCCCTGGAGTGTAATTAATGCTCTGGCAGAGGTGAAATTCCACAATGAACTTGCAGGATTGCTCTTTGCTTCCAGGGATCCGGAGTGTTGCAGGAAAATTGCAAATTACAGATGTTGCTTTTACAGGAAATGTAAAAAAGCAGTAATTCTGATAACGTCTTACAACAGTGAGCTTTAAAGAACTTCCTCTTCTCTTTGTCTTAAAAGTAGGGAAACATTCTCATAATAAATGAATACAGAAAGGATGAATTTTTTCCAGTAAACAGGCGTAGGAAGATTTTCCACAATAGAGCCATGTTGTTGCTGAACACAGATGTTTTTCTAAAACACTGCCTTTTATTTCCAGTATGTATTTAAGGCTAATCATTTCTTTGTTGGCAAAAGCTATAATTCCATGAGGAATGAAGATGGGTAAATATTATTTGGAGCAACCTTAAATACTGCTCCAAGCTCACCTTAGAACACATGGTGAGTTTTGTTCTTATATTGTGCCCTAGTGCATATATTGAATTCTTGGCTTATACCAGCTAGTTTACATATTTTAGATCTCCAAGTGTAAGAAATAAAGAAAAAAAATATATATATATACACATATATATATTTTTCACATCATTAGTAATTCTTCTTTCATAAACTTTTTACTTTGGAATAATTTTAGATTTACAGGAAAATGGCAGTGATAATACAGAGTCCCATATACCCCTCACCCCATACATCCTTTCCCCTAGTGTTAACATCTTACGTAACCATGGTGCATTTATCAAAATAAGAAATTAACACTGGTACATTACTATCAGATGCAAATTTTATTCAGATTTCACTAGCTTTCCCACTAATGCCTTTTTTTTTTTTGTGCCAGGATCCAGTCTAGAATCCCATGTTGCATTTAATCCATGTGTGGTTTTTTTTTGTTTTTATGACTTGTTTGGTTATTATGCTTTTTAAGAAGGTCATAGAGTATAAGGATTTCATTTGCAAGAATAATGTCTCAAGCATATGGTGCTCTACTGATAAGTTTGCCTCCTGAGTCTCTAACCTGTTTTTGCAGAGATCGCTTTACAACAGGTTTCCATGTTCTTCCGATCGGAACCCAAGTGGGAGGTGGTGGAACCGCTGAAAGACATAGGTGAGAAAGTGGCCTGCCCGCTCCTGTTAACAGACAGGTGACAGCCGGATTCTTTGTTGTGCTTTCCTGTACGTGTCCCAAGAAAGCTCTTAAATGTGGGTGATTTTATTTCTGCTTCCCGACTACTTGAGTATAAAGTCCTTTTTAACTTGATACTGTATCATGAGTCTTGGTTAAGCCCTTCTGGGATTCAGGGGGTAATAACTTACCCGTTCGGACCTACCATTCACTGCTCATCTGTCTTTTTCACTAAATCTAAGCTGAGGTGCTGTTTACCCATTTCCGTAAACTGAATTTTGTTTGCTGTTTTCATTTTAATTCAGTCTTTCCCCCATCGATATTACCAAAACGGCTGTTTTACTGGTGCCCTCATAGCTATGTATAATACTGCCAAACTTAATTTTTATTCATTACTTTGTTGATGAAACTTATATTAATAGGCATGAAAATTATGTAGCAGTACACACATCTCTGCTTTTATGACAGGTTGGAGGATAAGGAAGAAATATTTCTTGATGAAGATTAAAAATCAACCGAAGGAACGCCTAGTGTTAAGCTGGGTAAGCTGGTTTTTATTTCGGCGTCTTTGGGTGGTTTTATGAAAACAGATACTAACAAGACAAACTAGGAAATTGTGTTGCGCTCCCTAGTGACAGCATAAAGGCCTCCTCAGTCCCGCGTCAAAGGAGAGTCCTTTTAAGGCACTTTGCTTATGCATTTGATTATATTGTGATTCTGTTTCATCAACCAGTAGTTTGGGAAGAAACAGGAACAGCTTAACATTGTTCCCCAGGCCCTCTGGAGGACTCCTTGTTTGGCAGTTTGTTTTAAAGAGAATCCTTGGGCGCAGCGTCTCTGTTTCCCACCTGGGGAGTTCTCGTGGTACCTTTGGTTAATGCAATTAGGGATTACAGTTGAGCCCTGGTGTTTATATGTTTATTTGCTGCCACTCCGGAAAGGCCTTCAAGTAGCAAGACAGGGTGGTTTTCAGTTTTCACCTTTGCTTTATGTTTGGACAAATGAAAAAAGGGGGAAAGACTTACAAGGAATTTTTCTTCTGATAACCAAGGGAGCACCCTGCTGTTTCCTCTCCTGTTTTCAGGCTGACCTTGGCCCCGACAAGTATCTGTCAGATAAAGATTTTCAGTGTCTAATCAAACTTCTGCCTTCCTGTTCGGTGAGTACGAGTCCGTCTGTTATCTTGGTGCTGATGACCGATCCACAGTGTTTTCTCATGGGAGACCATGGGCAGAAGAGCTGGAAACAGTCTACAGGCTCAGAAGAACGGAGAGGTAGAGAGGATTTCAGATCAGGCTGAAGTTGCTCAGGGCTGCTCTCATCAATGAGAAGCCATTCAGAGGCATTCATGACGCCTGCGCAGCACATGTACATGTGGTCATTTAAATGTAGTCTCTGTTTTAAGCAAATAGCAGCAGAGGAAGTCAGCTGCTTTGTTCATATCAGTGGAATTGAAAGATTCGTTTCTCTCCTGAGAACATGAAACTAATGGATTTAGATAAGCTGGATGAAGGAATGGCAAAATAGCACTTTTGCAGTCTGAGTTACTCTTCTCACAGGTAACTAGTCAGCCTTGAGAAGTACCTGGTGTTATTTATGCCAATACACAGTTATAAACAAGGTCTTCAATGTAAACAACTACGGCAGTCTATTTCAAAACATTCTGTCTTCAGGAAAAGACTCATCTGGCCAGAATATTGAGTGGGTGTTGATGTTCTCTAGCTGTGGTCTACGTGAGGGTGTAGGACCCTTGAATGAGTCACTCACGTATAGATTGAGCACAGTTGTGCTTATCTGTCCAGTTGGGTTGGAAAGCTCATTTTTGAAGACAGTATCTTGTCAAGAGTTTCATCAACCAGTAGTTTGGGAAGAAACAGGAACAGCTTAACATTGTTCCCCAGGCCCTCTGGAGGACTCCTTGTTTGGCAGTTTGTTTTAAAGAGAATCCTTGGGCGCAGCGTCTCTGTTTCCCACCTGGGGAGTTCTCGTGGTACCTTTGGTTAATGCAATTACGGATTACAGTTGAGCCCTGGTGTTTATATGTTTATTTGCTGCCACTCCGGAAAGGCCTTCAAGTAGCAAGACAGGGTGGTTTTCAGTTTTCACCTTTGCTTTATGTTTGGACAAATGAAAAAAGGGGGAAAGACTTACAAGGAATTTTTCTTCTGATAACCAAGGGAGCACCCTGCTGTTTCCTCTCCTGTTTTCAGGCTGACCTTGGCCCCGACAAGTATCTGTCAGATAAAGATTTTCAGTGTCTAATCAAACTTCTGCCTTCCTGTTCGGTGAGTACGAGTCCGTCTGTTATCTTGGTGCTGATGACCGATCCACAGTGTTTTCTCATGGGAGACCATGGGCAGAAGAGCTGGAAACAGTCTACAGGCTCAGAAGAACGGAGAGGTAGAGAGGATTTCAGATCAGGCTGAAGTTGCTCAGGGCTGCTCTCATCAATGAGAAGCCATTCAGAGGCATTCATGACGCCTGCGCAGCACATGTACATGTGGTCATTTAAATGTAGTCTCTGTTTTAAGCAAATAGCAGCAGAGGAAGTCAGCTGCTTTGTTCATATCAGTGGAATTGAAAGATTCGTTTCTCTCCTGAGAACATGAAACTAATGGATTTAGATAAGCTGGATGAAGGAATGGCAAAATAGCACTTTTGCAGTCTGAGTTACTCTTCTCACAGGTAACTAGTCAGCCTTGAGAAGTACCTGGTGTTATTTATGCCAATACACAGTTATAAACAAGGTCTTCAATGTAAACAACTACGGCAGTCTATTTCAAAACATTCTGTCTTCAGGAAAAGACTCATCTGGCCAGAATATTGAGTGGGTGTTGATGTTCTCTAGCTGTGGTCTACGTGAGGGCGTAGGACCCTTGAATGAGTCACTCACGTATAGATTGAGCACAGTTGTGCTTATCTGTCCAGTTGGGTTGGAAAGCTCATTTTTGAAGACAGTATCTTGTCAAGTTAGCAAAATCAAGCCTTTGATGAGGTGTGCTGTCTAACCAAGAAATAGGCCATGTGTGGTCTTTGAGTTTGATTAGTTGTGTGACACAGACTGTCAGCACTCAATTCTAAATTTCTTTTAATGGATGTGCTTTTTTAAAAAGAAAATAGTGCAGACAAGTGGTGCATATTAATTATAGAAAAGTCAGATAAGCAAAATAAAAAAATAATAAAACTTACCCATAATTCCAACCAACCAGAAGTATGAACCAAAATGTTCAGTTGTTGCTTTTCAGAATTTAATATGGCTATTTTTGAAAAAGTATATATGTATTGTTTTAAAACCTGATTTTTTGAGTCATTGTATACTATAACTTTTTTCATTCTTAATATAGTGTATCATTATTACTGGCTGCATAGAATTAACATTATCTATATACCTCAGTTTACCCAACTAATCTTCTCTAGATATTTGAAACATCTCTAGTTTTTTGTTCTAATTTTTTTTAAAAAGCCAGAGTGAACAATTATAGCTAAACATTTATACCTATCCTTAATTATTTTCCTTAGATAAATAACTTAGAATTAATAAATAATTTAGTTTGAGATTATATGAATATCTTGTTCCTTATCAAACCTGCCTGTTTTAGCATTTGAGATTTTCTAACTCCAGCATTCCTCTTATATTTATTAGTTGGTATTCTGTTATGAGGAAGAGCTTCCAATTTCCCTTCTTTATCTATTTATATCACTATGGACTCAAGGATTTTAATTTTATTTATTGGGTTTCTTTGTGGGGTGATGAAAATGTTCTAAAACTAGATTTGTGTGGTAATTGTACAACTATGAATATACTGAAAACCTTTAAATTGTACACTTTAAATAGGTGAATTGTAATGGTGTGTGAATCACATTTCAATAAAGCTGTTAAAATATCAACAGGAACCGTTTGTGACGATCAGGAAACTCCATGGCAAATTACTGTCTTTTCCTGGGCACACCTTTCCGTCCCCCAGCCCACTCAACCCCTGTCCCCCACATCTTTGCACAGCTCAGCTCGCATGTGTTTTAATGTTCATGGTACTTCTTTGAGCTAATGGACATTGTAATACCTGTCTGAAGCCAGTCGGTTCATGTAACCAAAACTCCAGGTCGTATGAGGACTTTCCTTTCAGCCGTTAAAATACTTTGTCTTATTCTCCACCCCAGTTGATTG